AGCTCACTGCAACCTCCTCCTCCTGGGTTCAAGCGATTCTCCTGCCTCAGCTTCCCAAGAGCTAGCACTACAGGCATGTGCCACTACACCCAACTAATTTTTGTATTTTTGGTAGAGACGAGATTTCACTATATGTTGACCAGGCTGGTCTCGAACTCCTGAGCTCAAGAGATCCACCTGCCTCAGCCTCCCAAAATGCTGGGATTACAGGCATGAACCACCGTGCCCGGCTGACATTTGGCTTCTAGCGCTGTTTATGTGTTGGTGGTGGTGGTGTTTTGCTGTATATATTTGTAGAATTTTATCTAATTATATCTATTACTTTTTTTTTGTTTCTGCCTTTGCTTTTCTGCGTAAATGTAAAGTCTGCTTAGTGCGTGCTTATCTTTTTTTTTTTTTTTTTAGTATTTCTAATTTTAAAAATAATGCACATTTGGAAGGCCAAGATGGGAGGATCACTTGAGCCCAGTAGTTTGAGACCAGCCTTAGCAACATAGCGAGACCTTGTCTCTACTAAAAATAAAAAATTACCTGGGCATGGTGGTGTGTACCTGTGGCCCCAGCTACTTGGGAGACTGAGGCAGGAAGATTACTTGGGCCCAAGAGGTCGAGGTCACAGTGAGCTATAATCCTGCCACCGCATTCCAGCCTGGGTGACAGAGAGCCTGTCTCAAAGAAAAAAAAAAAAGTAATGCACATATACTTTAAAATGGTTAAAAATGGTTCATTTTATGTATATTTGACTACAGTGAAAAAAAAAGTAATACACATAAGTCATAGAAAATTTGGGAGATACAGAAAAATGCAAAAAGGAAAATAAATTACCCATAGCCCAACACCCATGGATTATAATGATTAATAGTTTTCCTTCTATGGATCTTCATACATATACATATACACACACACACACACATATAAATATATGTAAGATTATTTCTTTTACAAAATTGTGTTCACACTGTATATAAAAAGTAGTATCCTTAGGCCAGGCGCGGTGGCTCACAGCTGTAATCCCAGCACTTTGGGAGGCCGAGGCAGGTGGATCACCTGAGGTCAGGAGTTCCAGACCAGCCTGGCCAACATGGCGAAACCCCGTCTCTACTAAAAAATACAAAAATTAGCTGGGCATGGTGGCACGTCCCTGTAATCCCAGCTACTTGGGAGGCTGAGGTAAGATAAGTCCCTGAACCTGGGAGATGGAGGTTGCAGTGAGCCGAGATTGCACTACTGCACTCCAGCCTGGGCAACAGAGCGAGACTCCATCTCAAAAAAAAATTAGTATCCTTTTTTCACTTATTATATAATGGGTATTTCCCTGGGCCATTAAGTAATTCTCAAATAATATTCTACCATATGGATGTGCCAAAAATATGTAACAATTTCTCATTTTTTTAATATTTAGGCTTTTTCTAATTCTTGAGTTATGATAACATTGTAAGGAAAACCTTTACATTCTTTTCGTATCTGTGATGATATCCTTAGGCTATATTCCTAGAAATTGACTTACAGGTCACAAAATATGAACAATTCTAAGACTGTTCATGAAATATGCACTCCAGAAAGGTTGTAAGTTTATAATTTCACCAGCACTAAAGGAGTGGTTCAACTTCTAAACTCTAAATATTAATTGATATTAATTATCAATATTGTCACTTTTTAAAGCATTATGAACCTAATAGCTAAAAAGTAGTATCTCATCATTTTAATTTTAATTTGATTGATTATAAGCAGGGTTGCATTGGCCCTTTGTATTTCTTTGTAAATTTTGTATTTATATAGTCCTTGCCCTATTGTTCTAGAATATTCAACTTTTTCTCTTCATTGGCAAAAAGTCTTTATATATTAAAGATATTAACCCTTTGTCATACATTTCATGTATTTTTCTCAGTTTGACATTTGGCTTCTAATGCTGTTTATGTGGTGGTGGTGGTGGTGGGTTTTGTTGTTTTGTTTTGTTTTGTTTAGACAGGGTCTCGCTGTGTCGCCCAGGCTGGAGTGCAGTAGCAGTTCAAGCGATTCTCCTGCCTCAACCTCCCAAGTAGCTGGGATTACAGGCACCTGCCACCATGCCTGGCTAATTTTTGTATTTTTTATAGAGACGGTTTCACTATGTTGGCCAGGCTGGAGTGGTGATGTTATGTTGTACATATTTTTAGAAATTTATCTAATTATATCTATTAGTATTATTTTTTGTTTCTGATTTTGCTTTTTTGCTTAAAAGGCCTATTCTGTCCCATAATCCTATGACTGTTCACTTATATGTTCTTTAAATACTTTTTTAGTTGTGATTTTTACACTTGGCTTCTTTTTTTTTTTTTTTTTTTTTTTTTTTGAGACAGGGTCTCACTACTGCCCAGGCTGGAGTGCAGTGGTGTGATCTCGGCCCACTGCAGCCTCGACTTCCTAGGCTCAAGTGATTCTCCCACCTCAGCCTCCAGAGTAGCTGGGACTACAGGCATGCGCCACCATACCCAGTCAATTTTTTTTTTTTTTGAGACAGAGTTAGGCTCTGTTGCCAGGCTGAGGTGCAGTTGCGCCATCTCGGCTCACTGCAACCTCCGCCTCCCTGGTTCAAGCAGTTCTCTTGCCTGAGCCTCCTGAGTAGCTAAGACTACAGGCACGTGCCACCATGCCCAGCTAATTTATTTTATTTTATTTATTTATTTATTTATTTATTTTGTATTTTTAGCAGAGACAGGGTTTCACCATGTTGGCCAGGATGGTCTCGACCTTTTGACCTCGTGATCCACCCACCTCAGTCTCCCAAAGTGCTGGGATTACAGGCATGAGCCGC